GACTGACACGATGGACGCAGTGGCGGTCAGTGTAAATTCCCGCTGTATCACGTGTTTGACTTCCAACTACGTTGAACTGCCACTGACGAACGACAAAAAAGAAACTTTGTATCAATAAGTTTGACAGTGGCCTCAAAAGTAGCCATAATAGCAAACGAAATAGCCACAGAATACTATAAAACTGTCAATCAAGTCATGTGTACACAGAGCGATGTTTAAAACATTAAAATTAGAATCAAAACATTCCCACACAAAACCTGCTGTTTACATAAAAAAATAACACATGGCTTAGTCTGACCTTCAGCCTTCCGGATAATGTTATCAGTACGTTCCTGTGACCCCAAATTTTTGAGGGAAGACACTGATAACAATTGGGGTTTTGGAACACACCATGACTGGGATAGAACTACGTGACACAAAAATAGTAGATGGGAAAAAGCACTAAATTTTTAAATATTACTTGCATAGAATGACTGAAACCTGGTTGAGCACTGAAAATTAAACACTATTACCTCAATCCGAAGATTATTATGCATATCATAATACAAGGGCAGATAAGTCGGAAGTCATCTGGTGGTATCTGCATAATTATTAGGAATAACAAAAAAATGAAATAATAAGTATCATCCAAACATGAAATAAATTTATTCAATGGTGCCAAATAAAGAAAAAAATCTACAATATTGATGGAGGTATATTTTCCTATAAAGTGCATACATTTTGTTATTATAACTGATAATGACAATAATTCATACCTGACACGTACACCTATGATCAAGTAATCGACAAGCATAAATTCAGATGAATTCAGAGACAACGATATGAATCACAAGTTGAAAGAAGCATATTCTAATTTTTGATGAAACAACAAAAATAAAGACAAAATTGAGTGAAGACATCAGTAATGACAATTAAACTATTTCATATTATCTGAAAAAATATATGATAATATATACAAACCAAGGTGCTTGAGAAGGCAAACATAGGAATGAGGACCATATAATGCCACTACACACTGTGATAAAACTAAAATGCTTTGATACTATCTGGGAAGAACAATTCATTCGCTATAACATCACTGGAAAGTTTGTAGCATTATAATATTGTCACACCTACTTTCAAATTTTACAATATTTTTTTTAAAAAGCTGCTTCTTAAGCCCTACATTTAATATAATAATGAATGAATCTTTTGAGGTACCTAACCAAATAAAATTACTAGCTCATGAACTAAATAGAAAGCTCGTTAATTGCATATTGTACGTAGATGATAGTGTTATAATACCCAACATTATCCCAGGGTTACAGTAGGCAATGAACGTCCTATATACCTACACAGTAGAGTGGGATTTGCAAATAAATACAAGAAAAGGGAAAAAAACAGATGTAGAGCAGGCTCACAAATTCAAATTCATCCAAAAAAGGCATTGACATTACAGAAAAAAACTGCTCCTACTTTGGTATAACATTAAATACAAACCTTGCCTTGCCAATCACCTAGGCTTGTATACACAGACTAGAAGACAAAACCGAGAAACTGCAGTCACAATTATATACGAGCAATACAAACACTATTAAAATCAAGTTGACAATAGTGACTCATGACGGTGAAATCTAGGAATTTCATTTATATTCAGACAGTCATAGCAAGCATGTCATCTCGAGAAACTGCAGTCACAATTATATACGAGCTATACAAACACTATTAAAATCAATTTGGTAATATTGACTCATGCCGGTGAAATCTAGTAATTTCACTTACATTCAGACAGTCATAGCAAGCATGTCATCTCGTTTTGTTTATTATGGTTATTACAACGTTCTGGTTTCTGAATTTCTTGAAAAGTTTATTTTGATTCAGGACTGAAATTAAAAGCGTGTTTATAAATGTGAAAAATTCAGATTTTGTCGACAATTTGTTATGTTGATATTGTGCAATTATTTTGGCGTAAATACATTGAGTCACACTACAATTTTGCGAGATAATGTTATCAGTTTCGGATCGTTGGTTTCTAAGCGCAGTCCTAGTATTATAGTGTTGTAGGTGGTGACATAGATCAAACTTTGCCACCGCAATGTACCATGTACATGATCTGTTAAACATTGTATTACGATAACCATAGCAGTATGTGCTTTTCATTTGTTCTAAGTTTGTTGTGCTATTATGTAAAACAGTTTAATTATTCAGTTCACTAAACTACGTACACTATTAACATGTATTAATTCTAAAGATGATATGTTAGTCTGTAAGACGTATTTATTATCACACTATCACAAAAATATATGTTTTTGAATAATATTTGTGTATTCTTTAATTAATATACCATAAACAATATATGTAATCAAAATTATTAAATGGCAAACGTGAATTATAATAATTATTTTACACGTTTCTAACGTCTTGTTCTATCAGACATAATCATAAGGCAGTCAAGATTTCTAAAACATGATTTGTACCAGTTTTTGTCAGTTGGCTCTAAATAAAATGGCATTTTGTCTTTCTGAGTAAGCTAAACCATGTATAAACCATGCTCTACAATGAATAAAGGGACTGCAAACAAATATAACACATTTACATCTTATGAATACCTGTGCTGACTTGCTGCATTCAGATATTGTTTTTTTCATATGTTGAAAACCAGAAAAGTATGGCATTTTCGTGTGAACTAGAAAAGAACGTTCATTCAAAATAAAATTAGTCAAAACCATAAATAAGTACTTTTACTTCTACAACAGAATTTCAGTTTTCAAAGCTTCGTCCGGTGTTTTGATGTTAACAAATATGTTCTTTATATTTGCACCACGTACTGTATTGATCAGTTTCTTTTACTAGATGCAATTTTGCACATTTGAAGTGATTCGATTATTAGCGTTCTAATATATATATATAATGTATATAGCTACCCTATCCATCCATATAACAAAGAACTATTTGCTTAACTATTCGATATACAATATGTAGTTTGTATTATCTAATTGCATTAGAATGGAATGTAGACGGGATAGAAGTTATTGTCCGGTGTATATATATAAGTGTGCTAGGAGAGTACAGCAAAGTCATGTTAAAATATAAATTATGTAATATACTTTTGTCTTGAACATTAATATCACCTAGAATTTGTTGCATAATTTGCCAAACAGTTGTTCAGTACTACTGTGATTGTATGGGTCAATTGGGTTTCTGATCGATTAGGACGTTCACTAATATTTCGAAAATCATGAAAAGATTGAAATATTTTAGTCGTTTTCGACGAATTCCAGAATTATACTGTGAACAGCTTCCCTTCAACCAGTTTGTTCTTCGTATTTGGTGCATCACACTTTTTTTCTGAAAATATGAGCACCGTAAATTCTCAACGTTCAACCTACCCTTAAAAGCACGATGCGATGAGCTGATCCAATATTCCACCTAAAGTCCAATCACTGCCGGCGTTACAAAACCCAGATCGCGTAAAGGCATCGCGTCGAAATCATGTCTTTCATTCTTATTCAAATCAATTTCCAGTCGAATCATTGTTTCTCAGTAGTCTATATAGTTTGTAATTTCTGTGTGGAAACTGTAGATGAACGAATTAATTCTCTCGATCGCGAAAATAAGTGGTGGTCGTCGGCGACGATTGTAACACATCGTTAGCTACGTTCTTGTATTTTCTAAGTGTACCGGTTTCTCAGTTTCTAGATCCTGTCATGACAGAAAATAACAAAATATGGATGGTCATCGGGAGACATCAATATCAAGATGCTTCAGATTCAAAACAGATTCGCAAAAAATATATTGATTGACAAGTGAGTGAGCGTTCAGCTGTAAAGGAACTGGGCCAGCTCCCGCTTAGATTCTCTAAGACTTGTTAATAGTAGGAGGAGCAATAGTTCGACTCTGATAAAATGCTGTTTTGTGAACCTAGAAATTGTATACCGTACGTCCCGATAGTGTACTACAGAAACTAGTATATCGAAAATAGTTAGTTTAATGCTACTCCAAATACATTAATGTGAAAAACTCTTAGTTTCGTTATATAACTCGGTACACGGGATATAAATAGTTGAACTATTTAAACTGACAACACCATAATAAAGCGTTTGAGTACTATAAGGTACGTTCATGGACAGAGCATTTGTTCCCACGAACATTTTTTTTCTGTATTTACAATAATTAGCGACACGATATTGCTGCTAAACGTGGAGCTAACTATTGGTATATTTATTGACACAGGTGTTTTGTTTTCTGTACAAAAAAATAGAAATAATATAAGAATATGATGTAACTAACAACAGGTACATTTTTTTTGAATAAATGTTGTCATCACGTGACCTGATATACTAAATGTATAATCGTGAGTAAAACATTATCACCACGGTTACATTTATGTT